CCTGGACACGCTGTCTGTGTTGTGCCTGCAAGGGGTGCTGCCTGGCCCTCACTCCTTTGCTCCCAGAGTGTCCACAGCTGCCCCCTCCCCAGAGCAAAACTCTGGCCCTGCCCTGGCCACTGCTCTGGGGAGGGAGCGCCCTGCCCTGGGACCACTGCCCAGCTCCTGCAGTGTCTGTTGCTCATCCCAGTGGGTGTCCTCAAGCAGGCTCCTCAGGCTTTTGTCTGGTTACTTGCCAGGCGTCGTCTTGATCGTTTCTGGCCATCTGGTGCTGGCTCTGCTGTGCCTCCAGCGATGCCTTAGTACCTGCACCTGCACTCTGTGAGTACAGGACAGCACATGTCCACTGTGGACTTGGGAGGGAGTGCGGTGGGCTGGGGGAGGCTGGCAGTACTGCGGACCAGGAGAGTGCAGCTCCTGCTGGTGGCTGCCAGGGCTGGGTCAGCTGCTTGGAAAGTAGTGAAAGCAAAACCCCTCAGCAGCCCCACTTGCTGCACGTGTCAGTGGTGGAAAGCTTGGCCACCAGGGAGGTAGGTGCCTCGGGCACGGAAGAGTGCTCAGCATCCGGGCCAAGTCTGTGCAGACGAAGGTTGTGCCACGGCTTTGCAAGTGAAAACACCCCTGTACAGGGCTCTGTCCCCGTCGCTGAGCACTGGTAACACCAGGATTCCTTCCGTTTCAGGAAAGAGATCACTCAGACGAAGAGCGGGTGCTTGATGATCCTGTGCCTGATCTTCTTAGCCAGTGTTGGTGAGCATTGACCACCTGCTGCTTGTGGTAGCACAGACACACTGGGTGCAAATTTCAGATGAGGGAGAGGTGCAGGAACCAGTGTGGCAGCCTCCAGCCTCCCCCTTCTGCAGCTCAGGGACCTCCCTACATGCGGATCCCAGCCAGCCCAAAGACAACTGCAGATGCGCACAGCGAGAAGGCGAAGCGAGTAGGACCCTTTTGAACAGAGGTCCCTCCTTTTGTACAGCTTTTCTCTGCAGACAGGCTGTGCACAGGGTGCCCCAGAATGACTTGCCTAGTCTGCAAACCCATGCATAGAGGCAGTACGTACTTCCAGCCTAGCTGCATGATCAGGACGTGTGTGTGGGAGAGGCAGATGGGCAGAGCTAGCTGGAGAGGACAGCCTGCAAAGCTGTGAATGGGGGCCAGAGAACATCTTTCTCTCTCAAGGAAATAAAGAGCCTGGTTGCTCCTGTAGCCCTACTCTTAGAGGTGTGCTGGAGGAGCCAGCGACAGTGACAGCTTAGGGCCAGAGCTGGGCATGGCTTGGGAGGCAGAGCCAGCTGAGGTGAGGCTCCTCAGCAGTGCTGATCAGGGGGAGGGACAGAGAGATGGCTGTCTCGCAGCCGATGGAGCCCCATGTTGGTGCTCACCTCACCCAAGAGCGAACCTCTCAGCGAACATCTTTCTACCCTGGTGTGGGAGGAGACAGCAGAAGTACGGGGATCACTAGAAACAATAGTAAATTCTCTCTCTTGCTGAACTGCAGCTGGTGCCTACTTTGGGACCTTTCTGCCAATATGGATGGTGCTGGCACAGGAGACGTCACAGGTCAGTGACTGTTGTGGGTCCCGCAGAGGAATGCTGCAGACAGTGGGTGGGTAAAGTCGCCAAACCCTCTGTCTCCAGGCTGTGAGCCAGAGAAACAGCAGCAGCTTCTGCTACACCTTTCTAGAGCTGCTGGCTCAGGAGGGCCCCTGCAGCTCTGGGACTCAAGCAGAGAGCCTTTCCCTTTCAGGTCATGCCAGACAAGCCTGCGAATGACCTGATGTCTGTGTGGTAAGAGCCCTCTCCTGTCCCAAAGCTCATTTGGTGTGGGAGCGGCAGCTGGGCCTGTGCTGTTTGCACTCCCATGCAAGTGTAGCACCCAGGGCTCGTGCCTTTCCCTCTCTTTGCCTTTTGCCCAAGCTGGAGGTGAAGGGAAGCACTCGCAAAGCAGGGAAAGAAAAGGCGGCTCGAGCACGTGTGAGCAGCTCACTGACAAGATCCGCTCTGGTCTATCCAGGAAGTCATTCAGTGTGCTGGGGAAACAAGCGGAGGGAGTGCAGCAGCTGAGGAAGGAGGTTGCAAGCCTGGCTGCAGAGCTGAGAAGTGTGAAGAAGGTGATCCTGCACTTGGGAAAGAGGGCTGGGACGAGCAGGACCCCACAGGGGATGCTTTCCTGGGGCTGCTGGTGTGGTTTTTCTCCTCACTCTGCAGCCCATACCTCACTGGGGATTGAGCTTCTGCTGTAATGTCAGCTTCTGCTGGTTGAGCTTCTCTGCTGTAATGCCCCTTCCCCTGCCCAAGTTTAAGTGGGCATGTCTGGCAGTGGAGGACTGCTCAAATCCTTCTACTGGTGCACTGGAGCCTCTAGTAATTCTGTCCTGGCCCCAGAGAGCGGTGACATTGTATGCCCTCTCAGGACTGTCTGGCCCTGGCAAGTCTGAGCCTGTCTGCAGGCTGAGCTGGACAGCATGGAGGTGGAGAAAAGGCTATTGGGCCCAGACCCACACCCACATCTTGCCTGTGGACACGAACACTGTTGCCAGGCCTTCACTCATGAGAAAGCTTTGAGCCTGGCAGCTGTTGGGACGAGGCTTGTCTTGTGCTTCCTGACTCGGCTCCTTCCTTCGTTCTGTGCCAGCACTCCGTGCTCACACTGAATATGAACATCCTGCTGAGGTGGTTATGTGGCACGTTTCGTTTCCCCAGGAACTTCAGGACCTAAGAATGGCAATGTCTGCAATGCCTGTGGAAGAGAACATCCAGATGTCTGCCTGGATTCTGCAAAGCAAAGGTATGGATGCTGGCAGGCAGGTCTTGTTGTGCTGCGCCCCTCTTTAGCGCTCTGAAATGAGGACACACTGCAGACTCCACCGAGCTTTCCTGGGGACTGAAAGCAAGTGGTTGGGTTGTCTTCTGTGCTCCACACGGTGGGGCCTCAGCTTCGGCCCCCTGCCCTTCCCATGGGGACTTGCAGTCTCCCAGCACCCGCAGACCTCCTCTCTGTGCACTGTGAGAGAGGTGCCGTCGCTGGTCATGGGCATGCCCTTCTTGCCTGCATCACCTCTGAGGGCACAGGGCTGGGGGGACTGGTAGGCAGCCTTAGAAATACGCTAGAGCCACCAGACCCTTGGAGCCTGGGGCCTCTCACAGTCAGTTGCCCTCTTCTCCCTTCAGGGGCCGTCATCGACCTGCAGAGATCACCCAGAAGCTATGCGTGGCCCTGCAGTGTGTTCGGGTTCCTTTGTGATTCCAACCGTCTGGATGCTTTTGTGCAGGTATGGTAGCAGAGAGCTTCAGTACTGCTTCTGTGCCGCCTAGTAAGGTGGAGGGCAAGCCCCTAGGGTGCTGTTTAGCCTGAAGAAGCCTGAAGAAAAGGCGGCTGAGGAGAGACCTTATTATTCTCTACAACTACCTGAAAAGAGGTTGTAGGGAGGTGGTTATTTTTCTGTCACCTGGAATCTGGTTCAGGGCAGGGATGGTCATGGTCTTTTGGGGTGGATGCAGTTGGGCTGCAGCAATACAGCAGCAGGGTCTCTCCCCATCTCCTGCCCCCTCATGGCCCCATCTGTGATGTGAAACACTTTGAGGTGCTGGAGCACATCCAAGGGAGATGAGCAAAGCTGGTGAAGGGTCTAGAGGACAAGTCCTTTGAGAGTGGTGGAGGGAAGTGAATTTTTTTAGCCTTGAGAAAAGGAGGCCTAGGGGAAACCTTATTATTCTGTACAACTACCTGAAAGGAGATTGTAGCGAGGTAGGGTGTCCATCTCTTCTCCCAAGTAACAAGTGATAGGACAAGAGGAAATGGCCTCAAATTGCACCAGGGGAGGTTCAGATTGGATATTAGGAGCAATTTCTTCACCGAGGGGCTTGTCAAGCACTGGAACTGGCTGCCCAGGGAAGTGGCTGAGTGACCATCTCTGGAGGTATTTAAAATGCTTTAGATGCGGCACTTAGGGACTTAAATTAGTTGTGGGCTTGGCAGTGTCAGATCTGCAGCTGGGCTTTATGATCTCAAGGGTGTTTTCCAACCTAAATGATTCTAGGATGCTCTCATTTCCCTTAGCAACCCCAGTTGCCTCCCCCAGCTCTGAACATCCCTTTTTAGATAGGGTATGGCAGGAGTCAGGGGAGATGCAGAGCGCTGGGCAAAGAGAGAGCTTTGTCCAGAGGTCTGGCTCAGGCGTGGGGTTATCAGACATTTCAAGATGGATGTTTTCCTCTCCTGGGGAATTCAGCAAGTCCTCTTTTCCCATCTGGGAAGATGTCTGGGCACTTCTGCCGTTTCCCAACACACCACTCACTGGAGCACAAGTGCTCTGCCGCCAGTACTACTGTCTGCAGTGGTAGCAGCATGGGCCGTGTCACACCCTCCCCAATAACTGCTGTTGCCCTCTGCTTTCAGATGGATATTTCCCCAGGATATTGCTGGCCTTTCCAAGCATCTCAGAGCCAGGTGGTCATTCGGTTGCCTGCACAAGTCCAGCCAACAGCGATCACTGTGCAGCACCCCTTGAAGGAGTCCTCTGGGCTTGGGGACATCAGCAGCGCCCCGCAAGATTTCACCGTCTCTGTAAGTCTCTCCTGGACACTGGGGGCTGGGCTCCAGCCATGGGAAAAAGCTGTAATGGGGGCTTGCTGCTCTCTGTGGTCTCTCCCAAGCACTGCTGTGCCCCAAGGGGACATTTCAGGGAACATGCAGGGTGGCGTCATCCCATCTTAAGGCTCGTGTTTTAGCTCAAGAGCTTATCTCCACCATACCTCAGGCCAGCATGGACTGGAGCCATGTGAGAAGGGCTGGGTTGCGGGCACGGAGCCGGCATGCACGTTTTCTCATGGCTTAGTTGAGCCTGACCTCTGCCCTGTGCTTTATCTCCCAAGGGAATGGATGGAGAAAAGGAAACTCTGCTCGGGACTTTCACCTATGACATAGCGGAACAGCCGATCCAGACCTTTCCTCTGCAGGTGTGGGAAGTGTGTGTGGGCAAGACACCAGGGCAGAAACGTACATTTGCCAGCAACTCCACTGCAGGAGGAGTGTTGACGGTCCCTCCGGGGGCAGAGCTCCCGTCTTGGCTGAGGGAGATGTGGCCGAGTTGGAGGACTGGGCTAAGCAGCCCTCAGCAAGGGCAGCAAAAGCAGAGCAAGACCCATGTTGACCCTACTGGGGGTGCAGCTGCCCAGAGCTCCTCACCTATGCCTGCTGCTTCTTGTGGCCTTGCCAGCGACACACGTGCTGCACGCTGCCCTAAAACACAGTGTCAGGTGGCGAGAGCCAACAGGCAGCACCGTGGGGATGCCCAGCCGGCAGTTGCAGGGTGGCCACACCTCTGGGCCTGAGCTCTGCTGGGTATGCAGCTGGAGGAGCCTCAAGGTGCTGCCACAGCCCCTGCACAGCAGTGCTCCCTGGCCACTCTGCAGCACAGAGGCCACTGCGAAGGGAAGGGGTGGCAGGACAGGGACCGGGCCTCAGCCAGGCAGGCGGTGCCAGGGAGGACACCAGCACTTTGTCCCAGCAGCAGCAGCACTTTCCCCAGGCTCCGTTTTGGCCCTGACCCAGCCAGCCTCAGGTCTGCACAGCAGCCCAGCCTGCTCGCTCAGGCCAGGGCTTTGCTTTGCAGAGGCACAGGGGTGGGAGAAGGGAAGAAGGGAGAAGCTGTCAGCCGGGCCAGGGTGGGAGCGCACCTCCCAGAGCAAGGGCCAGGCTGGCAGAGGAAGACGCGTGGGGCCTCCTGCCGCTCTCTGCACTCCACAAGTGACACGTCTCTTTGCTGTGTTTGCTTTGCAGAATGAGCGTCCCGGAGCCTTTCAGTTTATCAGACTTGCCATACAGAGCAACTGGGGCAAGTCGGGCAACACCTGCATTTATCGAGTGCAGGTTCATGGGAAGGTAGCGGGAATGAATGCTGCCGGCGGGTGACAAGGAGGCCTCCTACGCTAAAGGAAGGAAAAGCCTCCGAGCGAAGGAGCATGGCTGTTTGTTAGCGTGGAGCAGAGCAATGTTGTTCCACAGGCCCGCTCAAAGACAACGCAGGGTCTAGACATAGCGGGAAACCTGGGCAGGCCTGTTGGAAACTTAAAAACATTTCTTGTAAAGGCTTGGGCAAGACACAGCAGTGAAGCAGTGATTTATTACATGTTTTTGCAAAAACGGGTGTCCTAACCGCCATCTTGTGGTCTTGTTCTGAAAGTTACATTTGTTTAAAGGCTGGTGGCAAAACCACTATCTTGATAACTTTTTACAGGCCCCAGAGGTGTGTGGAGTCCTGGGCGGGGCAGAGCCCAAGGTATTGCCCACGAGGAATTCCTTGCAGAAGCGGGGAGAAACTCCACTGGGCGGTTCAGAGGCGCAGCAAGCTGCTCAGGTGGCTTGTGCCTGGTGTGACGGGTGCTTCTGTCCGTTGCTGAGGCTGCTGGATCCTCCAGTGTGGTCTGTGCATGCTGATGTGGCAGCCGCACACAGGAGCCTGCCTCGAGGAGCAGCCAGAGCCCCGGGGAGATCCTGGTTCAGCTCTCCTGGTTCAGCCCCCTGCCATGCTTCCCCCATGCCCATGGGGCCTTCCCATGCACAGTCATCTGGCCTGCCTGCGACACGGCACCCCCAAAGCTCTGGCCCAGCCTGAGGGCCTTGTGGAAGGGCTCTGGAGGAGTCAGGGGTCCCAGGGTCAGGGAGGCCTTGAGGCAGTGGGAGTCCTAGGAATGGGAGGTGGGAAACCTCAGGGAGCTTCTGGGAACCTGTGGGGTCAGGAGGTTGGGAGCTAGGCAGCCATGAGGCCTGGTGGCCGCACAGAGGCACCTGGCAGGCACAAGAGGTGTGGTGTTGTGCTGGTGGAATCACCCAAGGGACAGCATGCAGGGATTGTAGTGGTAGGACAAGTAATGGGTTCAAACTTAAAACAGAGGGTACTCTTTACTGTGAGGTTGGTGAGGCACTGCAACAGTTTGCCCAGAGCAGGGGTAAATGCTCCATTCCTGGCAGTGTTCATGACCAAGTTGTACAGGGCTTTGGGAAACATGGTCTAGAGTGAGGTGTCCATTCCCATGCTCACTGGGGGGAGGGGGTTGGAAACAGGCCCTTTCCAACCCTAACTGTTCTATGGTTCTATGATTCTATGCCTTGGCACAAGAGACACGGCCCCTCCGGCCTGTGGACCCAGGTGTAAGGTGCAAGGCAGCAGCACCCGGCAGAGGCCCAACAAGGCTCAGGAGCTCGCATGCTCTGGCTCCTGCAACAGCTGCCAGGGGAGCGGGTTCTGCCCCTCGGGTCAGGCCTGTGATGGCTGGAGCTGGGCTGCACCAGGACAACTGCAGCGTCTCTCCCATTCTGCCTTGTGCCCTGTTATGATGTCACAGCCATAACCTCATTCCTTGTCTCCCGGGCCTGGTGTGAGGTCAGTTCCACGGCTGCCTGCCTGGAAGCAGCTCGCGCTGTCCTGTGGCACTGTGTGGCTGTGGCAGGAGCACTTCTGCCAGGGACTGGCTTCAGCTTTTGCCTGTGCGGCTGTGCCTCGGACAGGCAGTTGTCTTGGGGCTGAGGAGCTTGCTTTCTCCCCAACATGCGGCAGAGAAAGGCTCCCTCAAAATCGCAAGAGGCACCAAGATCCCCGTTGAAGAGGAGAGCTGCCCGCAACATGGAGGCTAGGTGTGTTAATGGAGGATTTGTTCCTCCTGGGGGCCTCTGCTTGGTGTGAGCACTGGGAGAACCTAATGCAGGGCGGGTGGGGGACAGGGTTGAAAAGCTGACAAGGGCTCTATGCAGAGCAGGAGCCGTGGAGTTTGGGGAAGTCGCTGACAGGCCCCATGAGGCCACGGACATAGTGGGAAACCTGGCCGGGCACTCGCTGGTTTGTGGAGAACTAGAGAGAGACACAGCCCAATGTACTTTCCACAAGGAATTCCTTGCACAACCAGGGAGCAACTCTGCTGTAGAGCACAGCAGGCTGGGAAACCTCAGGGAACTTTTGTGAACCTGTGGGGTCAGGAGAAAAGATAGGGAGGAGGGCAGCCACGAGGCCTGGTGGCCACACAGAGGCACCTGGCAGGCATGAAAGATGTGCCGTGCTGCTGGAATCACCCAAGGGACAGCATGCCTTGGCACAGGAGGTACAGCCTCCTCAGCCTGTGGTCCAGAGTGTGGGGCAGCAGTACTTGGCACAATCCCAGTGAGTCTCAGAGTGTCCTGGGCAGAGGACAACAGGGTGGAAATGGCTGCACTGCCTTGCTTCTGCTTCCTTTTGGGTCATGGAGGGGGCATCTCGTGGGCGCTTTCCCCAGGGCTACTTCCTGACCAGGGCCTCTGTGCCAGCAGCTCCTGCCTGCCTTGGATCACATGCCATGGAGACAGAGCGCAACAGGTGTTTATGCCCCCCCGGTCCACCCTCAGGCAGCCCAGGGCACAAGTCAGCAAGGTCGCTGCTGTTTTTTGAGCATAGGGTCTTATGTTCAAATGGGTCCTACTCGCTTTGCCTTCTAAGGCTGTGTGCATCCACAGTTGCCTTTGGGCCGGCTTCAATAGATGTGTAGGGAGGTCCCTGAGCTGCAGAAGAGGGAGGCTGGAGGCCACCACACTGGTTCCTGCAGCTCCCCCTCGTCTGAAATTTGCACCCAGTGTGTCTGTGCTACCACAAGCAGCAGGTGATCAATGCTTACCAACAGCAAAAGAAGATCAGGCACAGGCCCACCAAGCACCCACCCTTTGCCTGGGTGATCTCTTTCCTGAAATGAAGGGAATCCTGGTGTTACCAGTGCTTATGGACTGGGACAGAGCCCTGCACAGAGGCATTTTCACTTGTAAGCTGAGACGCACCAAATCTGGAGGTCAGCTGCTGACAGAATGTTAGTAGACCGTCCCCTTTCCAAAGGAGCACGGTTTCTGTCTGCAGTCTTCAACGCTGCAGGCAGAACTTGCCAAAAGAAAGCGCTCCAAAATCACTGTCAGACACAGAGTTAAATCCATCCAGTGAAATAAACAGAGCCAGCAACTGAAAAGCAGCTCTCTGGCAGTCTCTGCTCTGTACCTTCCCTCATTCTTACTGTGGCAGGAGACCTGGTTGTACTTGAGATGAAGCACCTCATGTTCTGGGAATTTCCACAGTGTCGGTTGGAGCAGCAGGCACTTACTGCTCCTCTCCTGCCACCCCCATGGATCCATCTCCTCTTCCCACAGCCAGAGGCTACTCAAGGACATGGCACAGCCTTCTCCTGCACAGACTCAGAGCTAATCCTGAGCACTCTGCTGTGACCAGGTCACCTCCCTGAGTCATCGTTTAAAACCAGTCAGGCAGCTCGTTCACTCATTCCCCCCCCTTCTTTCCCTCCCCCTACTCCTGGACGGACGGAGAGGAGAATCGAAAAGAATGCAACTCCCATGGGTTAAGAAACAGTTTAGTAACTAAGGTATAACACAGATCACTACTGCTACCACTAATAATAACATTAATGAAGGAAATAACAAGGGAAGAGAATACAACACCTCAGCACCAGCCGACCAATAACTTGCCCCACCCTGCCTGACCAAGCACCGACCGATACCTACTCCAACCCTGCAGTCCTAGCCCTTCTGGGTAACTCTTATTTACATACTGGGCATGATGTGGTGTGGTATGGAATACCTCTTTGGTCAGTTTGGGTCAGGTGTCCTGTCTCTGCTTCCTCCCAGCTTTCCCTCCTCCCTGGCAGAGTATGAGGCTCACAAAGTCCTTGGCCAGACCAAACATTTGAGCAGTAACTAAAAACACCGAAACTATCAGCACTGTTCCCAGGCTGAAAATCAAAAACACAGCACTGCACGAGCTACCAAGCAGGAGAAAAAACGACCGCTACTGCTAAACCTAGGACGGTATCCACCCCTTATTCCATACCATTCACGTCATGCTCAGATCCCACATTTTCAATATACCATCACTCTTATCTCAGTGCGCTCTTATCTTAGTGCATGGACCAGTCCCTATAAAGCTGCTGAATCCATCTGGTCCATGATGTCAGGCTCCATCTCTTGTAACAGTCTTTCAGAGCAGGAGAGACTGTGTGCAGTGTTCACACTCGTGAATAACCTGGGCAATGCTGCCCATTGCTAAGTCCACCCCTCGATCATGAGTCCATCTCTGTGTTGCATCTCTGCTCTGATGGCCTGAAGTGTCATGGGCCCACCAGGCTCAAAATAATTCACTGTCCCCTTAAGCAGTTTCTGCAGCTTGTTGCTGGGGACTCCACACAGCTGCCTTCCATCTCCGACGCTTCCAAAGCACTGGAGGGGCCCAGTGGACTAGATACTTGCCCATACTGTCCCACACACCCTGCCACTCATCACTGTCCAGCCTTGGGGAAAATCTCCCGTTCCTCCTGTATCGTTGTCTAACCCCAGACAAGACCCAAACCCGACTCTGCTTAACTTTTGAGATCAGACAAAATGGTTGTGGGTAGAACACAGTCTGTGTGTGTGCCAACATGCTGATCCCCATCACAATCAGCAGGCAGGTCCCAAGGGTACCCAAAGGCCATTCAAAACCTTCAGAACTCTCAGTTGATGCTGCTGTACTTGTCACTGGGGCTGGTGTAGCCGCTGTGCTTGCCGGCTCTCCCACCGCCAGCTTCTCTTTTCCTGAGCCCAGCTCTTCCTCCTCTGCCTTGCTGGGAAATGCTGCGTGGTCTCCTGCATCCTCCTGGGGCTCGGCGGGCGGCTTCCGGGGAAAGCTCTCGGCCGTCGCGGGGCTGGGCTCGGCCGCGGGGCTCGGCTCCTCCTCCGCGGGGCTGGGCTCGGCCGCGGGGCTCGGCTCGGCCGCGGGGCTCGGCTCTTCCGCGGGGCTCGGCTCCTCCGCCGGCTTCTCCCGCTGCTCTGCAGCCACCTCCTTCCTCTCCTCGACCGCCCCGACCTCCTCCACCGGCACCCGT